TCATTCGGAGTACGCTGTAGGCCCAAAGTTTCTGCAAAAACACAAAATGTTACCGAGTATTTTTTGTCCAAAAGGTTAGCATACTGGAAATAAGACAAAATTAACTTGTAAGTAAATTTTCAGCAAGCTACAGCAGCTCGTTTTGAATCAGTAATTGCTTAATATTGATTTTTTTTTTTTAAAAAGTACTAGTTCCACTGAGAGATTATTTCACTTATTACATGGCAAAAATATTGTTAAAAGAGAAAAATACCTGCCAGTGGATCCAATACTTTTTTTTTTTTTGATATTAAATAATTTTGGACTTAAAACAAGCTCCAATATTTTGTTGAAAAATGTCTTGTAAGTTAAGTTTTTTTTGTTTGTTTGTTTGTTTTATAAAGTGTAGTGATATATTTCCACTAGACATTAGGCCAAAAATACTGGGTGAAATTTTATGTTCTTGTTGAACAACAAAATTTCTTTTGCACCAAAACCACAGTTGTATTTTATTTTATTTTTTTAAAGCAACATCCAGAAGATGATGAATAAACTAACCTGAGTGATCCTGTTGTGGTTGGCTAAAAACATGGAGAGGTTCTGGGACTCCTGGATGGACTGAGGGTCGGCCATCTTCCTCAAGAACTGAGCTGCCCTTAAGTCACAACAAGAGAGAACAACATCGTGTTTTTTTTTTTGTTTGTTTGTTTTTTGGGGGGGTTTTCTAACCGAAAGGAAAACCACGGCTGACATAAAGGCAGCTACACGTCAGACGGTACCGTTTGTAGGCAGAGTGATCGTTCTTCACGCTACACTTCATGTTCTTGAGTTCGTCCAGCACCGCGAACATGTTGATAAATTTCCCCAGCGTGAGCAGGTAGGCCTCCGACACGAAGTCTTTCCTCCGCTCGGCGTGGCACAGACGCTTCACCTCGCTGCAGAAGCGCTCTATAGCTTTCCGCTGCGAAAACACAAGACACCAATCAGCCTGCGTCCCGAAGGGGAGTTTGAACTTCAACATGCATTCGGTTTTAATTCTGCACACCATCCCAAAAATAACGCTTTTATTTTGAAACAGCTGCGGTAGCTCCATTAGTGCTGTGTTCAGTACTGCAGGCTGAAGCCAACTTTTAAGAATATATCAAGCTCTAAATAAGGACTGCACAATGCAACATAATCACAATATCAGTCTGCGGAACAATTATACTGCCAAGGACAGTTTGGAAAGCAATATTTTCCATTTATTGACAACGCTGCTGAATGCACACTTTATATGCTAATAACTGCAGCAGAGTCCAACACAGACGATCATCCCCGAGAGGCTAAAAAGTCACAGAGAGCGTGGAATGCAATATTATGACAATCTAGTTTTCATTATTGTGCTCTGTTTGTCTAGAACAGATTGCATTTCTGGCATGCCGCGTTTTATTGTTCGGTGGCAACGACCGATGCTACCAGCAGTTGATAAAAACCCTATTTGGGTGTGCAACTGCTTACACTTGTGTGCTGTTTTTTTTTTTTTTTTAAATCTGCAAAAAGGTGAGGCCACCCCTGATCTGGATCAATCTGTAAAAACATCCGTTCAAAAGAACTCTCTTTAATTACTATTTTGATACATTTGGGAGACACTTTCCCTTTAAATCATTAACGACACCAACTCCACTGTTCTGATGTTCAGAGGCTGATGTTCTCATGAACTCACCTGGAAGTACATGAACTTCATGAGCTTGGTCACTTCCGGCTCCAGCACCTCCACCGTTTTCTCATAGATCTCCACTCTGTTGGGCTGCTCGTTGCATTTCACCTGACACACACAAGATGGCGCCATTATTCAAGCTGGGCTTCAGAGTTCAGGTAAGCAGCTAGGTTTAAATCTAAAAACTGAACAAAACTATACTCTAATGAACATTATTTAAACATTTACATTTGTTTTTTTTTATTCCCTGTGATTAAAATACAATCATGTTCAAATTTAATAACGTCTTTCATCTTTTAAGTATCCGTAAACCGCGTTGAGGTGTTTTCTTAACAGAAGCCAATACACCGGTTTTCAAAACCTCGGTTTCCAAAATATGTTAAGATTAGTCCAGGGATCATAGCTGGCAACTAAGTTTCTGATTCAGCCACCAAATGGTGTAAAGTGTGAAAGGTGAACGCCCATGTTACATGTTCTCCGACATGATTTCATAATGTTTTGAGCACAGCAATATGTGCTTTGTTATTTATTTTTGCAGACAGTTGTGGTTCTGGTGATTCATCGTGTGAAGTGAGCTCACTTTCTTTCTTTTTTTACCTGGGGAATGGCTCTGGAACAGCTTCTCCAGGTGTAAAGCATCACTGCGTATTCATGTCCTTCCTCCAGCATCTCGTTCTGCACAAACAGAGGAAAAAAGAAAAAGAAAGAGCAAATATAATTTAATACAAAGCAACTACACAGTCACTTCTGATGAAATAAAATTGTTAAGTCTCTGTTTACACTGCCTTGCAAAAATATCCATACTCTTATTTATTTATTTAAATAGAAATCTGAAGTTTTCCCATTTGCTGTGCGATCATAAACCACATCCCGTTGGCGTATCACATAAAATCCAGACTGAATGCGTTGTTTTTTGTGATTCTACGTTTAACTATTTGTCTGCGAAGCTACCAAGCAACTTGGCATTATGTCAAACCCATCAGCTGAGTCACTTGTTCCCATTCGTAATGAATATTTTAACAGGGTTAGATCGCTTCCTCTCTTAAAAATACGTGGGTTTTCCCATCCTGACAGTCTTCAACCTCATTTCCACTTCCTGATCAAGCAAGTGAAGTTAAATAAAGCTCCACTTCTCTCCTCGTTGCTAGTCAAATCACGTTCTCCACTCTTTCGGCAATTGGGAAGGGAGGGGAGAGAGCCTTAGCGGTCCGTTGCACTACTGATTCACTAACTTGTGAGTGGGAAGTGTGTCTCTGTGAGCGTCTATGTGTTTTTGTGCATGTGTGTTCTGCCACAGGATGAGGCAAAGGAGGCCAAACGTGCCAAATGATGATCGGTTCAAGTAAAACAAGGCTCCCTTTACGAGAGTGAGGCCGTTTTACACAGAGGGCTTTGTGAACAGGAACAGAAACTACTAAATGTGGAGCACAGTTATTTTAATATTTGTTAATAAATAAGGCTACCAGCAGGTCAGGACCTGTTTTTGTTATTACAGGGTCTCTGCAGGTTTCAACAAATAAAATTTAAGACTTTTAATGCCACTTTAAATGAAATTTAAATCAGAAAAAAACTGTCAATTTGAGGAACAGTTGGGGGAACTTCCTGCATTACAATCAAGCATAACAAAAACTGTGAACGCAGCTTTGTGCCCACGATTGAGGGAAAAAAGCTAGCTAGCTGGGGTTTATTAGCAGCTGGTTGCCGTTAGCCTCAACCGCTTCGAGTCACAGAAAGATGTTTGCGTGCAACTCAAACTTTTACCTAACAGAAAAGTCCCACAAAAAAAAAAAAAAAAAGTCCTACCAGAACAAAATTTAGGACCTCTGATTAACAAATTTAAGGCCAACATACATTTTCTTAATGAATTTAAGACGTTTTAAGGCCTAAACATTAGACATATAAATCTCAGACTTCTTAAGGCTGCGTGAAGCAGAACACTTAAACTCACCATGCTGGAGTGGACTGTGGCTTGCTCTATGTAACGGGCGATGCCGGTCACAAAGGCATTCCTGTCTTCGAAGTTGGTGTCAAAGTTAGCCTGCAGAAAAGGAGACAACAGAGTCGAGTTAGACACGGTATGAAGCAGCAGGAGGATCACGGTGAGAACTAGTCGAGGGGAGTACCTGGTACATGATGGAGGAGGGGGGAGGTTCGATGCATGGCTGCTGGTCCGGCAGAGGCAGCTCCTCCAGCAGGTCCACGTTGGACAGAGCATCCTCCAACGTCACGTGGGTTGTCATGGTAACAAGGCGTCACTCAAACAACACCTAGGTCTGAGAAGGAAACACTGCAGTAGGTATATGAGCGGACGGCATTGGGGAAGCAGATGTACTTTAAAGCAAGTGCGTAAAGTCAAGGTGGACTTCAGGTGGAGCATCGCGTCGCAGTCGGGATTTTTTTACTCGTCCAATTTTTGTTGTAAATTGTAATTCAACCTGGATAAAATCCACCCACCAGAAAGCAAACTTCCACACTCTGAAACCTCTGGTGACTTTATTGTCAAAAAGTAAGAGTCTGCCTTTGCTAGGAAAAACACAGAGAGAGGTGATTTTGTAATGCTACCCGCACCAATCAGTTTCCAATACATGATTCTCCGGCCAATTTGACATGCCATTTCTCATCTGCTGGTCTTCAATTTAAAATCTGAGTAAAACAGTGTTGAACAGCAACTACTCTCTCACACATAACATGCAGTGCGCTCCTAATATGAAAAAAAAATAATGATGGCTCATGGGAAAAAGGGTAGGAAAGTAGATTTTGATTAATAAATCAAGTTGAATCATTTTTTTTTAAATATTTGCCCACAAATCTACAAAAAACATATACATTTTATATTCAAGATAGAAAAAGAAACTTGATGTTTCACCAAGAGCTTCACAAGTGGAATAGTTTTAGCTTCAAACGGTTCAAATTCAGCACCTTTCGCAATTTGGTTATTAATTGGTTAATAGAAAAAACAGTCAAAGGATTAAACTGACTAACTGCACTGATGTTAAGTCAAGCAAAAAGGGTTGAGGTGTTCACATAGCTCCATACTCTGCTACAAATCTAAAGAAATGCTATGCTGTTGCAATTTAGACAGTAGAATGTTAATTTTCTTATTTAAAAGTTTAACCGAGTTGCTTATTTGCATCGTTTAATGTCTTTCTAACATCATATAAAGGAGGATTATGTGGCTTAATGAAAATTCAGCAGAATGTGCCATTTTTTTTTTTTATCAGATTAATCAATTAATCATCAAACTTAAACTTAATTTATTGTAATTGCACAAAGACATAAGGGAAATTGGCAATGAAATGTCATCACATGACCTCCGGAGCACGCGCGCACACACACATACACACACACACACACACACACACACACACACACACACAAATAAATAAATAAATAAAAAATGCTGATTGGTTGATTGCTAAAATAATTGTTAGGTCTAGTAAACAGTGGAGATCAGAAACTACTGGCCAATCTGATCAGCCTGTCTCCATTTAGAATCCATATCAAAATCAGTCAAAAGTCTCTCATTCACCACAATGTTTACTGATTAGTTCACTTCCTGCGTCTCATCCTCCTTCTGATAAGGAAGGGGAAAATTGTAGGTTATATTTGGAAGACTATCAAAAGCGCAAATGATTAAAAATCTAAATCAAGAGCAAGAAACCTCAGGGGTTTGGTTACGAAATAAAATAAGCAAAACAAATAAGAGGTGCTCGCTGGCACGTTGTACAAAAAGAAGGAAAAGCTCTACTGACACCAAGCGCTTCTGAAATAAACCAACTTAACAGCAGTTCTAAGTATCGCTTTATAAACACACAAAGATAAAAACACACATCCGCTGCTCAACCTGTTTAAAACGAGACGGGAGGCATTTGATTGACGGATCAAAAGGACAACAATATCCCCGTTCTGAAGATATGCAGAGACGACGCTTCTCAGTCACACAAGATTTCCCCCTGACATGTCTAGACGGCTTCATTTCCTTTCTGTGAGACGTTCACACTCTGCACAGACCTACAGCTCTGTCTGTTCATCCTGCACCTGCGCCCCTTCCTCGCTGACTCCACGGCAACACCAGGCAAACACGCAGGGGCAGCGAGAAAAGAGGAAGAGGCCCCTCGCCGTTTCCTTTTTTTGCCTACCCGTTGGGCTCGTGCGCTCAAAGAAAGTCCTTCTTGAAATGCCAGGAACTGGAAATGTCAATAATCTGACAGAGGCGAGGGAGGCTCTGACAGCGAATGACATTTGAACGCACCCATCGCACAAAGCTCGTCAGAGCCGCTGACAAATGTGGGTTTTTTTTTCTTCTTTATTTTTGAAACCCTTAGCAAGCTGCGTTTCTGTCACCTAAAGTAAATATTGAGTGTTATATAAATATGAAAACATAACCATGTCTTCACACAGCTATACTTAACTCTTAGCATCTACAAAACCAAAGTACAACAACAACAAAAATTGTCATTCTGGCAATCATCCCACATTTATCACATGTTACTGTGGTTTTTTTGGGGTTTTTTTTGCCTGACCGAGCAGACAGTGCTGATAATCAGCTTAATATTCAAGGCCGGGGACGGCACAAAGAGAGCCAGAGGGTCAGGAGGTAAACCACAAAGAAACAAAAAAAAAAAAAAAAAGCGGAAGGGAAAAAAAAAGATCAAAGTCAGCTGACAAGCAACTTTTACAGTACCCGAAAAATATTCAAGAATGTCTTTTGATGAGTTCCTTAACGAGAATATTACATCACACTGTGGCCCACGTTGTTGTCGGTCGCGCCCTTAATGTGCACGTCTGCGAATGATCGGCAAGCGAAGCTAATGGGAGGTAGGTGGAGTTTCCTGTCAAGTCAAACTGTCAGACCTCACAAACACAAAGGGTAAAACGCCAAAGTAAACCACGTGGTTCAGAGCCAAAAAACCAGAAGACTGAGTCACTCAAGTACCAGTAGGACAGAGGCGCTCATCTGCATAAAGATCAGGCCCAACATTATAGGGATGTGAGCAAACTTCTATGTCTTCATTTTATCTTTTTTTTATCACACACAGACAAAATACATGTCTGTGTGTGAATGTGACTTCATAGTTTAAAGGAGCACAGTTGATGTCAGGGTTATCACCATCGAGCTTATTCTGCTTGGTCCTATTGGTCTATTGATTATTGGTTCGGACGACTAAAGTCTGAATGAGCAAATTGACAGTTTATCCATTTCACAAACGAATGCCTTCGCGGTCTGTTGGAGATCTACACAGACCGTCAAAAGCTTGGGATGATCTTCTCCTCATGCTGGTCACCAGCTTGGTCGCACACTGCTGCGGGACGACATCCAAATCAATCAACACTTGTTCAGTGGGATTGAGGGCGGGACATTCCACCCTCCCACATTTTGAAGGTAGTCTCTAATCTCACTGTAGAAGTGAGAATTGACATCCTAAAGGATGGTGCGACTATCAAATATCACTTAAGAGACATTTAGATTTGTGATTTAACGCCTTGAAATTGGGCCCCAGTCTCTTTAAAAACTCCACCCTCAAGGCATTGCTCCTCCACGAGCCCTTTGACAGCCCGTCTTATCGGCGTTGCACTGAGAAGTAGCTTGTGTGATGAGCTCAGCTGATGCACAGCTCCACCGGGTGTTTGCTAGTTGCTGCTGGCTAGTCTGTAGGAACCGAGCGTGGGAGCTGTTCTGTAGCGTGAAAACTGCAGCTCCGAGGAGGAGCTTTGTCCTCGAAGACGGCGCTTGGCCCCACCCAGGCGTTTTTACACAGCTGAGTGGTTGCGGCGGGAGATTAATGGATTTCTCACACATGCATGAAAGAATCAAGGCAAGACTCCAGGTGTATTTTTGAGGATATAACATGAAGTCCAAAAAGGTTGTTTTTACAAAATACTCCCCCTTTAGCGCAAACAAAAAGAGCCTGTCAGTGTCTTTTTAAGACTTTACAAGGTTATATTTAACTATCCACAGATTACACTAATTAAAGCATGCATCATGCAGCCAACTAGCTCCAGGCACTATCTGTCCAGCTGACAAACGGCCTCGGTGATACCAAAGTCCCATCTGTGCTTGGGGATACAGACACAGCCTAAGACCCTGGCTTGGCTGAATAAACTTTCCCACCCTATACCAGACTGTGCTCAATAGTTAGAGTGTCTGTGAATCTCAGTGTGCATGTACATTCCTATAAAAGAAGAAGGGCCCCTTCATTCCCCTCCTGGCTCTTGGTAACAAAACTCAGCCTGCATCACGCAGGAAGGGCTAAAGCAGGCAAAGGGAAGAGCGAGTTTCTAACCAGAAATCTCACCGTCTATCTAGATGGATGTTTAAAATAGTGTTGTAAAAGTAACACCATTTCTTCAACCGCAGACAAGCTGACGCGGTTATATCAAGATATTGTGTAAGGAAATAGTAACACACACACACACACACACACACACACACACACACACAAAAAGACTGAATACGAGTCGGGGTGGGAAAGGAACTCCACTGTATGTTCTGGTTGGCTATTTGACAGTCATCTGCTTTGCTGGAAGAAAGTGTGTCAGTGCCAGTAGTGTCACTCCCCTTAATGGGATACCCCGCTTCGCCTCCAGGCTAGCTCTGCATATGCACACACAGTCATGCGCCAAGCAGACCATGATCCCATCGTCTTGAAAGGAAGTGAGTATTTAAGGAAAAACCAGCAAACGATTCCTCACATCACATCAACATCTGAGTGGTGTGCAGAGTGGAAGCAGGTAGAGGACTCTGGTCTGGTGTTTCACATGCCCCACTGTCACGGGAAAAACGAGCTGCGTCCCCCAGGTCGTCGTGATCTGCCGTTTTCCGATCATCACTTGAGTAACGGGAATAAGCTTACCTTCCGTCACGGTCCACTTAGTAAAACTGGTACGGTGACATTAAAACACCTGATCCTCACAGTCATTTTTGCAGAAGTTTTGTTTTTTTTTTTGTTCCACTTGCTATATTTACAGTAGCAGCAATAGGAACAGGAACGACTACAACCGATGATATATACACACACATGTCCCCTTCCCTTTTATTTAGATTGTTTTCATATCAGTGGCATATCACTTATCCGTTTTGCTTCTCAGGTTACCTAAAATCACTAATACTAATCGTTATCAGTCATGTATGATGACTTTGAGTATAGAAATACGATAATTTGACGGTAGTCTTATAATAGATTAAAGACAAAAAAAATATGTAAGTCACGCCGATTTTGATTTTAATCAAAACGCAAAAATTAGTCCCGTTTCTGCTGAAATAACATATGGACTCAGGGGCAAATTTATTTTATAAATACATGGACTTGGATGGAGATCAAGTGACTCGAGGACAGATATATGTCCAGCATAAGCACTCAGGTAGATTGTGACGTTTAAACAATGTTGAATGGGTAGAAAGTCTCCTAAATTATGCCAGAAAAAAAAATGTCCTTTGCACCATTACGCCGCCAGCATGGACACAAAGAACGAGGAATCTATGCGTTCATGTTTTTTTTGTTTTCTTTTTACACCAAATTCTGGTATACCAACTATACAGAATCGTAGGGTGACGGGTTAACAATCATCACACGTTTAAAGTCACTTAAATCTCCATTTTTTGACATTCCTAAGCTCAGTTTGAGCCTCATCAAGTTTAACATCTGTACAGCTGAATTGAATGAGTCGCTGCAATCTAATTGGTTGTTTGACCAGCTATTATACATTTTGTTTTTTATTCTTACCATCACTAGAGTTTTTATTATTATTAATACGATTAATACAGTTAGTCATTTTACGTGCAATGTCAATTATACTGAGCTGTTCTCAGTATTGTGTTTTACTACTTTCCTTGTTATTTTTTTTTTACCCGTTTGTGTTGCCATGACGCCCAAATACTTCCCCACTGGAATCAATAAGAAAAGCTCATGAGTGTCAGCAACATTCTTACTATTTTTTGTTTCTAGCCATGTTTTGACACACTTTTTAAAAAAAAAAAACAAAGCTCCAAAATACCCTTCTTGTTCTAGATAAACAGTTATATTTTTCCATGCACCAGAATAAGCCTAGAAGTATTTGCAGCCCCTTTCTTTTTACACCAGAGCTTGTTTACAGCTCGGAGGGTTTGCATAAGAGGCAGATTCACAGTCAGACGGATGGAAAAACAAAAAAAAAAAAAGAAAAAGTAAAGCAGCAGCCGAGTTCACATACTCGTTTATATGAAACGGAAGTAGGCTAGGTGAACCTTGTCTGCTCACAGGCCTGAACGTCTATCCACCGGGTGTGATGGCCCTGAAAGCATCTGCATTGTACGGCCTGGTGGTTGAAGAGATCGACCCGAGGAAGAGGAGGTGGAGGGTGGAGGGAACAAGCCAGAGGGACAACTGCATGCAATATTCATGAAACGATATCAAATTTAAAACGTGATCGGGAGTAGAAAATGTGCAATCGAGACATCCGGGGGACTCCGTTCGCTCGGTCTTAACGCTCCGAGCCGTTTCCAGCCCTGGAGGGTGTCGTTTAGCCTTTACGTGCTCCATCATTCATGAGTGCACTTGCTGCACGGGGACCCTCTCCTCACCCCACCCATCTCAGTGTGAGAGCTACGATGCCGATGTAGGCTAACGGAGAGAGAGGAGAGTGGGTGGGGGGGGATGAGGAGGGATCCCGTTCATGTAACCGTAAAAATCCGCGTCTCTATCTCCGCTCCGCCTGCGGGATCCGTCTAATGTTTTCCCTCCGTGCACGGAGCGGTAAGCGGCGAGAAAGAAGCAGAAAGCAAATGCGAACTGAGAGGGGTTTGGAGGTGGAGGGGGGGGGGGGGTTGAAAAACAGCCACTCCAGTCTCCAGCCATCATCACTACCCAGCGCACATCCCCAGCAAACCCCCGTTCATCTTCCTCTGCATCCATCGCTCCGTTTCTCACGTACCTGAAAATTGCATGTCCGTCTGGGCGACGAGCAGGCGGGCGGACGGTGTCGCGGTCTGCGACGGCAAGCCGACGATTCCTGGGTTTGTGATTCTGTTCCTGCTCCTCCGTTTTCTGTGCCGATTGATGCTCTAGTTTCGCTCAGTACCAGCCCCGCTGCTAATCCACCCCACACAAAGAGCAGAAAATGGCTGCAAGTGCATATTCTTAAAGGGACAGTCACAGTGGGGTGATGGATGATGAGGGGGGCCCTCAGACACGCTGATCTCGCGTTCTCACTCTCGTTTGTGGGAACATTTTGTTTTCAACGCGTTAAAAAATAAAAAAAATAAAAAATAAAGTTTGACTGTTTGAACATTTGTTAAAGAGGAAATTAAGACACGTTTCCCTCCCCGCACCCCCCTTACTGGTTCACACTCTCCTCTAGTTGGTTTTGGCTTGTGGTTGCCTACTTCAATTTAGAAGTAGATTTAACACTAAAGGTTTTATGGTGTTACTGATGTCCGAAGTTGAGTCAACATTGTATGGAACCTGGAGCAGAAGTGACATTTGTTTCTGTTAACTCATAACCTAACGCCCTCTGATCGTCTTCTGTTAAATGCAGTTAAAATGGGGATAACTTTCACCTTCTGCCGGCTACGAAAATTAGAAAGAAAATTAGAAAATAAAAATAAACATGTAAATCCAAAAAAAGTGCCCAAACAAACCAGGCATCTCCTCTTTCAAAGAGAAATTGGGATTGAGACAGCGCTTCAGATCCAAAGTGCATTTTTCTCACACATAAAGTTAATATACGACATATTTATTGTAATGTTGATTATGTACATAGTATTATATACAATGTATATTGCTGCAGTTTGGTGATTGTGTGTCAATAAACATTGTATATTAAGATTTTATTTATACAGAAACATAATGCACAGATGATTTATAGGGTAACTTTAAACTTCTTCCTGCTCCTTTTTGAAGCAGAAAGAAATGTCTTCTTTTATCTTTTACTTTTTATTTCTTATTCCTTTTATTTTATTTCATTGTCCAAAATTTTGTTAGAAAGTAAACAGAAACCCTTTGACAGTTTTTGTTTTTGTCTCTAATATGCCGCAATATCACTTCAGTCCCTCGTGTGTCTTTGCTTACTCCTGTGTTTTGTTCCTTGCACGTTTCAGTTTCCAACTTTTACCCCTTAGCCTCAGCTGTTCCACATTTCCTCTTATTACTTCATCTGGTTCCTTTGTCATTTTTGTTTTGCTCCTGCTTCAGTCTTTAAGCTCTGAGCGTTTCTTTCTTTCTTTTTTTTGCTGAATGCCAGGGCCACATTGTCGCTGTGTGCAACTCACAGAACAGAACCAGCTATGACCACGAACGCTGTAGAGCGGTGAATGGGTTAAGTGAGTAATTTCCTGCCTGACATGACGAATGAAACTGAATATTCAGTTGCAATCTATGTTCTCTTTTCTTGTTGTTTATTTAGGCTTGTCACTGTTCTCCATACAGGAACAAACAGAGCTGAAATGAACTAGCCTTTTGTGGTTACAGACACAGAACTGATGTAAAAAGGTCATGTGGTGAAGAAATAGCGCAAAAGGCTCCTTTAATGGAGTCATCTGATCGGGACGGCAGAAAAGTGTCCATTTCTGGACACGTCCCGTTGGGAGGAGATGCCCTGGAGCGCTTTCTGTAAGGATCATGTATTCCTTCTGGCCGTAGAGCGCCTTGTGTAAAATTCACCCACAAAATAACGGAAACAAAGGTAATGTTAGGCACTGAACTCACAAATGTTTCATCAAAAATAATCCTGTTCGGTGACCACAGAGTAAATGTCATATTCATCTTTATCGGTCAACGTTATTCGACTTCTCAGAGTGGCTTACAAAGTTAAACATGAAAATAAAGTGCAAAATCTACAAAAGTACATTTTTGACTCATAATTACATTTACGTCACAAATACTTGGGAAACCTTTTTGCAACGCATGACTAAATAAATAAATAAATAAAATAACATTGCTTAGACATATTCTCAAATCTTCACTTGGCTTAGAGGTCAGATAAGGCGGCCAGTTCATGCAGCAGAACAGCGAAGGACGGACGATCTTCTGGTTTCTGAGAAACACAAACGATTACCGATGAGAGTCCTGAACTTGTACGGTTGGTGTGCTTGGTATGGTTTAGCAGCTGTTTTACTGGACTCATTCCTACCTCCTTCCAGCACCACTCCATCAGCGAATAGACCGCGTTTGGGGCCAGGCGGGGCTTCAGGAGCCTCAAGCCTGCATTCAGGGACTCCACGACCTCTGCGTTAGTCCGGTTCTCGTAGGGAAGACGCCCTTCGTTGTAAATCTCCCACATGAGTACACCTGTTAATGGGTCAACAGCCACGGTCAGGTTGTCTTCTGACACGAAAACCTGCCAATCAGTTTGATTCAAAGCAACAACAAAAACCCAGCTCCATCATCAAGTCATAAAATACTGTAATCTTATTGCTGCGGTCTAACAGAAACATTTGGGTTTTCCAGTAACTATCGAATGATCTTTTTTTCACAAACTAAAGTTACCCGTATTTGCAACATTTCCCCCAACTAATACAATTATAACACAAAGTTGGTGTACAGTTGGGACATTTGGTTCACAAGATATCCTTATCCGCCGATGATGTGGTTGTCTTGCAAACAAATATCTTCCAAATATTGTCCATCCCAACTATTATTATTTTTTAAAATAATTTTCAATCAATTCTATTAGGGAAGTTGTCAGTTCTTGTTTATATAAAAGAGAAATCCAAAATCCTAAGTGGACGGTGGAAAGGAGAGATTGCACTTGGAAACGCTACATCTGTCTCTCCTTTCAACACACCTAAGTCATTAATGATGTCATTAATAGGAGTCTGGAAAACTTGACTGCACATGAGGAGGTAATTCAACCATTTGATTTAAGTGCGATGAATGAGGGACACACTTAAATCAAATGGCCAAAATTTGAAGACCCCTGTTTTAGAACATCTTTGTTCTTTTTATGAGGCATCAGAAAAAGAACGAAGGACATTTGTAGGATATGTCGTATAGTAGCTCCTGACAAACACCATAACAAGAACAATAACAGGCACTCATATTTGTCTTTGCAAAAACCGTGAAAATATAATAATAAAAAAAAAAAACCTTCCCCCAGAAGCACTATATTTTCCCTACTTGCGTTCTGCCAAATACTAGTTATGATTCTCTTTTAAGATTGGGGACATCTTATGCTTTCTATTTTGAAAGAAACTTTCATTAATAAATAATAATAATAATAATTAAAAAAAACAACAACTTGATGTTCCAAACAAATATTTTGAACAATGATCCTGAAAGATCGCACACGTCTGTGTGAACATTGGTCCAATAATCCTTGTTATGCCGGAGTCAGGCTGACTTAATAGGAGCTATTGCATATTCTTTTTTTTTATTTTATTTTATTTTTTAAATCAGAGTTGTCTTGGTCTGCACGACAAGTAAAATCCTAATAGTTCTACCACTGAGTCCATAAAACCTGTTGACACTGCACAAAACTTTCACCTTTGTAATTTGCATGTTAGAAAATGTGAGTTCATACGAAATACTTCCATTTTTTTAAAGTTAGGGGGCCAGAGAATATGACTGTTTACCACAAATAACTCCAAGCTTTGACTAAATGAACTACCAGAAAGTTTTCCACATCATTTAGTCAGACCTGGACAAAGAGTCTGAGTTAATCTGTTTTCCTTCAGTCGATTTTCAGTTAAATTAAAATCGATTAATGGTTTATAGGATTGGTAAAAACGCTCTCATGTTCCCAAGGTGACTCTATGATTTCTTAACTTTTGTTTTTTTTGCAGGATAAAAGCCACATTGCTAACAATATTAAGACTATTTGTATTTCAGAAATAAATGTACTTTCTATTGTTTTATTGACTCACTTTTTCTTATGGACCTTTGAAGGAAACATATCTTGTGTCCTACTTAACTTGCAGCTTGGTTTTACATTGAATTCAAAAGATATCCAACCAATAAAAAAATCTATTTTAATTTGGTCTACAGTCAAATAACCTGCAAAAACTGTTTTGAAGGCTGCAAAAAGTGGTAGAAGAGAAGTTCTGACGCTTAAAAATTAGTCAGCCTAAAAAAAAAAAAACAAACTGAAAGGTTGAGCAATAGATCACACACCAAATGCCCAGATGTCAGACTTGCTGCTGAACTTTGAGTATTTGATGACCTCTGGAGCTGACCACTTGACAGGGAACTTGGAGCCTTGGGAGCTTGTGTACTGATCATCGAGAACAAACCTTCAACGCACAATAGGTGGACAAAAAAAAAAAAAAAAGACAGCATTATACACACACTGTACAATGATACAGCAAAGGAGTTTTAGCAACTATGATGGGCAGCCCACCTGGTCATGCCAAAATCAGACACTTTCACCTCATTGTTTTTCGTGACAAGACAGTTCCTTGCAGCCTGTAAAAGCAAAGACGTGGGAAATTCGTGAAACGCCAATGGGATGCTAAACGAAGCGGCAGAAAACTCGATTTTTGCCCCCTTGGTGTACCAGATCTCTGTGGATGAAGTTGGAGCTCTCCAGGTAAGCCATCCCCTCGCTGACATCCAGGCACATTCCCAGCATCAGATCCTGAGACAAACGGCCTTTCTTCTCCCGCAGGTAGGCCGACAAACAGCCGCTCTCCATGTATTCGAACACCAGACAAATGGGGGAGCGTTGGGTGCACACGCCGTACAGCTGCACAAGCTTACAGTGAGACAACCTCCTGTTGAAGCAGACACACACACACGCACACACACACACACACACGCACGAGTCAGATGACTGTTTTCATGGCACACCCAAGCCAAGCATAGGTCACACTTACATCATAACCATTGCCTCTTCTTTAAAGTCCTCGTCAGTCATGCAGTCCTCTCTAACCATCTTCACCGCCACCTTCCTGTCATTCCATTTCCCCTCCAGCACCAGTCCGAACTGGCCACTGCCGATCTCCTGACCCAGGTCCAGCTCCTCCGGGTCTATCTCCCACTTGTCTGTGTAGATCACCAAACAAATGATGAACTGCACTGACGATGCTGTTCACGTACGTAATGCATAACTCCATGTATGTTTACAAAAATCTTGTTTCCAGTCATTAAAGGACAATTAAATTTAAGCTTTTTTTGGAGGTGGGGGGATTCC